TGAGCCGGTGAGATTTGAACAGCCGAACTGCAGAACTGCAGTCAGCTGAAGTAGCCTGCAGTGTTGCATTTAACCACTGTGCCACCTCGGCCCTTACCTAAGCTTACCTTAGTGTTAATTTTCGCCAGGTACACCTATAACTAGACAGTCCCTATCCTTTCCATTAACTTGTTGAAAAAGCAATATTTACAACTGCTTGTAACCATCTATATCTTTAAGGATGTATGTTTTCTAAGACATCATCTCACTGCCTCTTTCAAGCCATAATTCCTTTTAGAAGAAGACATCAAGGACTCCCCAAACCAGTCATTGTTTTCCTACTATCTCTTAGTCATACTTACACCCCAATTCCCTACTCACTGGCATCCATCTTTCCACCATACTATTCTTTTAAAAGAATAGTATACTATTCTGTTAAAAGTTAAAGGAAGGAGTATAAAGTAGCTTATTGGTCAATATTAAAACTAGCCGTTTATCTGCAATATTCTGAAAATTCTTTATAGACGTTTTGCTGACGCCAAGATTGAAAAGTTTACGTTTTATGGATTTGCTTATAACTAAGGGAAGAGATACGGAATGAAATCTGTTTGTAACCCTATGGGATGAAGAGTTATTAAATCTGTCCATATTTGTAACAACAGTTAGAATTGATTTCTTTATTTCTTTTCTTTTTCTTTAACATATTCTTTCTTTTCTTTTTTTTCTTGCACTTTCTATTATTTCTTACTATTCTTTTTGCTTTAAGTTTCATTTGTATTAGTTGTTACTCTGAAATAAAAACCCTTAACCAAATAAGTAAAACTATCTGGATAAAATCTTAACATTTCTTGATTATGCACAAGAAATCACACAATTTTAGGGTAAATGTTATTGGGCAAAGCAACCAACAGAGGTGCTTTAAAACATGTGGGGAGACAAATAAAACATCTCTTTTTGAATCATTAAAGCACCCCTGTCTTTTGCCAAGCACAAGAGCCTCTGCCTCTTTTTCTAATGCTTTGGACATTCCAGTGTTTATCTTTCCTGGCAATGAAAACGTGGGAGAAAATACTAAGATTAGACATAGCAATCAATGATCCAAGAAACCTTTCCAGTAAAAGCATTTATTGAATGTCTCTAGCATTCTGCAATCATGAAAGACAAGAGAATCCCTGGAAACCATATTTATTTATGCCTATGTAAACACTTGGTCAACCTTGGCTGATTTCAAAAAGCAAGGCTGTGCTGCTTATAGTACTTCAGTGAGAAATTGCCAAGAAACCCAAGGACTGCAGGCTAGACTGGGAAGTCAGAAAAGCATTCCAGAAGAAACAATTTACTGTTGCCTAGAAATCTACATGGGGTGTTCCTGAATTTATCACAGATAAACTCAACTCAAAGGGGACAAGACTATATTTAACAATGGATTTGGCAATGGAATTAAAAACATTAGGTAGAGCTGTATTCTTGCTAAATATACAGTATCTTGACATAACTCTCCAATTGTCGCTATTCAATAGGCCATTGACATGGCTGCCCTGTGGAGAGGACATTTTTGGAAGGGGAAGAATACAAACTGTCAGATCACAAATGTCTTTCTCCTATTATAAAGGTAAAGGTTCCCCTTGCACATATGTGCTAGTCGTTCCTGACTCTAAGGAGCAGTGCTCATCTCTGTTTCAAAGCCGAAGAGCCAGCGCTGCCCGAATACATTTCCGTGATCATGTGGCCGGCATGACTAAACGGCGAAGGCGCACGGAACGCTGTTACTTTTCCAACAAAGGTGGTTCCTATTTTTCTACTTGCATTTTTACATGCTTTCGAATTGCTAGGTTGGCAGAAGCTAGGACAAGTGACAGGAGCTCACTCTTGTTATATGGCGCTAGGGGTTCGAACTGCTAACCTTTCTGATTGACAAGCTCAGCGCCTTAGCCACTGAGCCACTGCGTCTTCTATTGTACAACTTGCGATAGAGACCCTCCCTGGAATACTGCAATCTCATTGGATCAAAACATTGGTTACAATTTAACACTAACTAGTTATGCAGGCTATTATAAGCATGCCATAATTCCATATAACCAACACCAACAGAATGTGAATTCAGCCACAGACTTCAGCTTTCCAAGATTTTTTTTTTAAAAAAACTTTGCTAAAATATATATTTTCATGATATGCTTTAAGACAGGGAGGTTCCCAAGCCCCGGTCTGTGGATTGGCATGGGTCCACGGCATGCCAGCAACCGGACCATGCAAGCAAGCGAAGCCCCATCCGCGGGATGCAGGCAATTACGAAACCACGTCCCCTCCAGTCCGCGGAAAAACCTTTCTCCATTGAATAGGTCCCCGCTGCCCCAAAGGTTGGGGGGCGCTGCTTTAAGAGGCAAAGATAAAATCTCCTAAATTCAGAGAAGATGTTTAAGAAGATTTTCAACAGCCATAAGGCAAAATAACCAGCAAGATTCCTGTCCCTCTCTCATGGTTTGTGGCTGTAAAAATGAATTATGCAAAATAAAATCACCCATGCAATTTGGCAAGATAAATACAGAGACTTTGCGCAGCCAGCTGATTTGTTATTTCCAATTTGCTGTCTCGTCTGACTTAGACCAGCTTCTTTGAAAATAGATAATAACTTCCTGAAGCATCTCTATCTCGAGTTATCCAAGTTCTCTGCTTCTGAGAAACCAATACACTAAAGATTATTTCTATAAAGAAAGGAATGATCATAATAGAAAAGGAAAACAGAATTGACGGGGAACTGTCACTATACATATGGGTCTGCCTTCCCTTAACCTCTCATTCCCAAAGGAAAGGAATAAATTTCAGTTCACAAGCTAAATTATTGAGGGAAGAGAAAAATATCCATCAAGATTAGAGAAAAATGTATTGAAAAGATCAAAAATTAGTGAACAGTACTAATAGTAATATTTCTGTGCTTCCGACACAGAAGCATTACTATTACTACTGTTCACTAATTTGCCGGTGACATCACCATTGCCCAGGAAGGGGCGCTTTCCACACTCCTATGAAGTTGCCCATTGAAGTAGTACCCACCAATCCAGCGGTCCCCAACCTTTCTGGCTTGGCGGCCGAATGGGGGGAAGAGAGGCAGATGTGGTATTCAGCTGGTTCAGATCGGTTCACCCAAACCGGTAGCGGAAATCGCAGGTGGGCCTACCCACCCACCCCAGGTCTATGCCGTCCTATTTAGGCATGTTTTTGAGGGCGGATGCATGCACGGAAGGGCGCATGTGAGCAAAGTGCATGCGCAGAAGGCCGGGCGCATGCGCGGAAGAGGCACATGCACCTACAAAGCAAGTGGGCACACCCACGGCGAACCAGTGGTAACAAATGTGAAATCCACTGCTGGAGAGAGAGGATGGTTCTGTGTGATTGGTAGGCACGCATGTGTGATTATGCTCAAATGGAGCTTTGTGCATGAGCGCGAGTGCCTGCTGCTTGTACAAGTGGAGCTGTGCTCGCTTGTCCATTGGTTGCGTGGCCCAGTTCCAAATGGTCTGCAGTCCACTCGTGGGCTATGGACTGGAGGTTGGGGAGCCTTGCATTAATCTACTTGCGATCACCTACTTTCAAACTGTTGGATCGTTGGAAGCTGGAGCGTGGAATGGGAACTCACTCCTCTCTGTAGCAGTAATGGGTTCTGAACACAAGACTACCAATCATCAGCCCAGCAGTCTAACCTAGTGAGCCACCAGGCTTGTTAGGGAACTGTTATTTCAACAGATCAAAGCAATAAACAGGCTATTTTCATGATTCTGGGAGCAAACATGACCTTTCTGGGTAGGTATAAAACTTACTAATAAACAGGTGCTAGTTTCCTAGCATAACAGTTGCAGAACAATTTAATCTCTTTATGAATCATGAAGTTCTCTGATTTAAATCTCTCTCTGCCACGAACCAATTAAGGGACTCAGAGCAATCTTTTCTTAAACTTTAGCCTCCCATTTCCAGCAGGATTTTAACTGTATAGTTTTACTTCTGCAGTTTGGTAGAAATATGAATAGAAGTTCAGAGGATTCAAGATTTGGCCAAGGTCTTAGATTCCCTTCAAATATCTGTTCTCTGGTTTCCAAGTTTGACCAGCTAAACTGGTTCAGTTGCGCTGGTTCATGACCAAGTCTAGATCAATGATCTTCTTAAATGCTACTTAGAATAGTTTCCAAGGAAGCGTCTTATAAATACTGTACTAAAATAAATTCATTTTTTAAAAAAAACATCAAGAATATTCAAATATTTAATTTGGATGAATTAAAATGCATTTTAAGTCATATATTAAAGATGCCCACATATAAATTAAATGATTTTAATTAGTAAAAAAACTAAAGCTTAGAATCATCTCTGCTTGGAAATGTATAAATTCAATAAATAAGCACGTTAATAAACAAAGGTACTTTAATCTGGCATCTAAAAACCAAAGCTTACGATATCCGAATGTTTCTACCAAACATAGCTCGAATTATATTCCACATTCTAATTACATTTTATCATTAATGTTGTAAAGTAAATAACAAAAGCAAAGTAACAACATTAATAATGAAGTGAAAGCAATATGCTATTATTTTGCAAATGGTACAAATGGACACAAACCTGATTGTGCATCAACAAATCATCCTCATTTCTGCCGTCTTTGCTACAAAAAAAGAAGAAGAAAGAAGTATTAAGGAACATGCTATAAAAGAAGCAACAAACTATTTTTAATAATCATAAAACCACATTTTTTAAAAAAGTGGATGAAAATAAAAGTTAAAATTTCAAATTGTGCTTTATAACTCCTTCTTTGAGATTTGCTTAAAAAAGCCATGAGATCAGTCTAATATTAACAGACGTGAAATACAATATGAATACATAAAATAAGGCATGCATTATAATGTTAAAACACCGTTTTCTGGAAAATAGCATTTTCAAAGGAGGGCATATGCAGGCATACAAAATCTAAAGTTAGCTTTTTTTCTTGCTATGTAATGAAACTGTTTTCAAAGTTGAATTGGATTCTCTAGTACAGACCTTAACTGACATTTAAAAATCTTTAATTTTATTGTGTTTGTTTTTCTCTCTCTCTTTTTTTATTATTAACAAACATGTAAAATACACACACACTTAAAACTTAGACGTACACCACATTTACACAATACAATACGAACAGAAGCTTCCTGTTCTTTCTAATAGCAATTATCAATCGATACCGCTCACCTTACATTATTTCCCCTTCTATTGTTAAAAATCTTTAATTTTAAGACAGAGTAAATTATAAGCAACTCACCTTTCTTCAGAAAACACCTCCATTTCATCTGGTCCTCTTCCATCCACATGTTTCAAGGAACCAAAAGTTTCCATCGCCTGTCAAACATTAAGACAATTGCTAAGAACAAGTCATTTTAAACACCACCTCTCAAAACCTCCAAAAGTAATTGGGATTTCAACTGTCAGTGCACCTATTCAACGGAAGGACACAGTTGTGTTCCAACAATACTAAGAAATGCTATTTATGATATAGACAGTGAAATAGAAAGGGAGTACAAAGGACACAGCAGCAAGAGGTCTATTGATCTACAGAGATGTTGGACTACTGGGCAATGGGCAATCATGAGTTTACTACTCCCACAAAAGGGAATTAGAATTAGTGGGAATCCATAGAAAGGTTGAATACGAAATGTGCATTATAAACCTCCTTTGAAATACCTGTTATTTTAAGTGTTTCTGTTCCAAGGGCCCACCCCAATACAGTGGGACCTTGGGTGCCGACTGTAATCCATTCCAGGACTTCGGTCGGCACCCAATTTGGTCGTGACCATCACAAACACACACACACACACACACACACACACACACGGTGTGAAAGGGGAAATCGCCATGGCAGGGAAAATAGCTGCGGCTGTGTTTATTCAGCACCCGAGGATGTGTGCGTGACTTGAAAACATTTAGCGGATTTTTTGGTCGGCACCCGAATTCTTCGTGGTCTCGGCCATTCGGGACCCGAGGTTCCACTGTACATGTGTCCTTGACTTATAACCACAGTTGAGCCCAAAATTTCTACTGCTCAGCGAGACAGTTGTTATATGAATCACAGTTCAGTGAATCTGGATTTCCTTGTCAGAAAGTCACAAAAGCTGATGACACCACCCCAGGACACGCAACTGTCATAAATATGAATCAGTTGCCAAGCGGCTGTACTTTGTACATCATGTGACCGCAGAGATGCTGCACGGTTGTACGTGTGAAAAATGGTCGTTAAGTCACTTTTTTCAGTGGCCATGTAACTTCGGTTGCTAAATAAACTGTTGTAAGTTGAAGACTACATGTATACATTGGCAGCTTTGGTTTCCTATGAAAATGGTTGGTTTCTTACTTGATCAAGCAGCAAAGCCACATGTCTCGTTCATGTACAGTGCAGAGCCATAATCTGTACTTTGGAACATTCTTCCTTCTGGGAGAAGAAAGTCTTCTAGCCTTCAAAACTATTGGTTCCAAAGGGCATTTGAGTGCTTTGACACAAGAATTTCGTTGGAATAGGTTCACTTAATTGGATTATTACTTTATTGCCTTTAAAGATTGGAAACAACCTTTGTGGGAAAATGGATAGCCTATATATAATTGTATGCATACATGCATGCATGCACGTATCTGTAAATAAACAAAACTATGACATAAAACCAAAACAGCTGGTTTCACACAGTGTTAAGCTGAAAGCCAACAATGACATGCGTACAGGTAGTCCACAACTTGCAACCACAATTGAGCCCAACATTCCTGTTGTTAAGTAAGACATTTGTTAAGTGAATTTTGCTCCATTTTACAATCTGGGTCCTCATTTTACCCACCTCGGAAGGATGGAAGGCAGAGTCAAGCCTGAGCCTGGTGAGATTCAATCTGCCAAATTGCAGGCAGCTGGTGATCAGCAGAGGTATTGCACTCTAGCCACAGCGCCACTGCGGATCATACTAAGTCACCCATAATTTTCATAAGTTTGCTTACCAAAGAACTCTCTTGGTTGTCGTTAAACTCAGATAGTTTGGTGCTGGATTTCTGACGTTTTGGTTTACTTCTTTCGCCTATGTAACCAGAACTGTTCTCGTGGCATTTTTCCACTTCCTGAGCATTTAACATACACTCTTCAATGCTACTGAAGCCAGAAGGGATATTCTCTTTATTGATGACCTCCCTAAGAAGAGGGGGTGGGGGTGGGAATGGGGTGAGAAAGATAGAAGAGTTCCAGATCATTTCCAATTACTCATAAAGGCAACCTGAGCAATTATTTTAACTTTGCAAGTTCTAGAAAGATATTTACACCCTACACTTCCTCAGTCATCTCAATCTAGCCTTACATCTGGCATTTTTCTCAAAGTATCTGCAGTCTATCTCTAGTGCACGGGTGTCAAACTCACGGTGTCACATTGCCGTCATGTGACACATTGTGATGTTTTCCCCTTTGCGGAACTGGGGTGGGCGTGGCCTGCATGTGACGCATCCGGGCCACCAGTTCGACACCCCTGCTGTAACAAGGGGTCCAATGGACAGATCTGGAATTTTGAAAATCTACTAAAACCTTCACAAAATCCCTATCATGGCTGAAACGTGCTTGTTCATAAATACCAAGCTGTCGAGGCAATTCTCTGCCGGGTCTTCTAGTCACCTAACAATGTGCATATGGCAATGTTTTTCAACTTGGCAGCTTTAACATTAGGCCTTGGTGGCTAGGGAATTCTGGGAGTTGAAGTCCACCCATCTTAAAACTGCCAAGGCTGAGAAATACTGGCATATACCGTAAGTTATATGAGTTTAGAACCTGACACTTTATTGTATGATGTGTAAGCTTTTTATTTATTGGTTAAAAAATGTTGAAACATTAAAGTTCACTCAGGGTGGTACAAAGAGGAGTATCATAGAAGTTTAATTACCTATCCCATATCTAGCCTAGCATAAAGCCAAATGCTGCAGCAATGTAATTGAAGTGAAGCAGACTGAACAATGCTGGATGGGACACTACCTGGAATTCCATAGGAAAAGGTTGCCATATAAATGAGAGTGAAGAATATGACTTCCAAGAGGAAATGCCATGGCAGGATTTCCCATACCTACTGTCAAGTACTTAACAGAAAATGAGTCCAGTCTAATGAAAGGCATTCTAAGCAACATTCATTTCTGATTATGTAGGTCTAAACCAGGAGTGTCAAACTCAAGGCCCGCAAGCTGGATCTAGCCCGCGGGGCTGCCTTGGGAACAGCAAAGGACACGCTCACGGTGCCTCTGCCAGTGAAAACGTGCGGCCTTAACGAGCTCGGTTTTTGGCTGCGACGGCCTCCTGCAACCTTCTGCCAGCGAAAACGGAGCTCGGGAGGTCCCGAGCTCCGTTTTCGCTGGCAGAGTGCTTGGGCCACTGCAGGTGCCCCCAACACGAGTGACACTGTGGCCTTGCCCACGCCCATCCCAACCCCTTGAGATCAAACATAATCCTAATGCGGCTCTCAATGAAATCGAGTTTGATACCCCCTGTCTAGACAAACCTGACAGGGAAATCTGAATATTCGGGAAAAAATTCCATCAAACAGATATATACAACCTCTAAGATTTATACTTCTCCTTTGCTGTCAATGATGCAGCAGAAATAGAGGAACAGCTTCACAAGAAATTCCCTCACAAGCTTTTCTAATTTGTACGGATTATCATTCAAACACTTTGTTTATGGAATCAGACATCATGTATGCCTGGATCTAATTCAGCTGCAGTATTCATTAAAAACTTAGCCGCCCCCCCCCCCCCGGTTGTAAACTTGCAATTGTTTATTTTAAAAAATACGCACCTGTTAGTCAGTTAAAGTTTGAGAAACTTTTAAAATTATAAATTATTTCACAAGATAAAAAGTTCCATGTGTAAACAGAAGTTTATTAGTTTAGACTGAAAAACTGACATAAAATAGTCTGCAAAATGTTCACTTTCTGCCAAATCTTTTCAATAAAAATTTAAAAAGTGAGGAGAAAGGACTGCGATGATTCCAACCTCTTTCCATAATTATCTAGGAATAGGAAGGCATTGGAGATATTAATTTGAATATGTAGAATATTAGCTCTGGAATGCAACAGGCTTCCTGTTAACCTGAGAGGGGGAACCAGTTTTTTTGCAAGTATCAGAGAGCTCTAAAACTCTCATAGGAGAAGAAGAAGAAAAGAGAAGAAAAAAGCATACCTATCTCTGGCCTTTCGGCCTTCATCTTGTTCTTTATGATGTCGCCTGCGCTGCCCACTAGATACACCAGAAGATGTTAATGATGTTCCAGATTCAGATTCTTCAGAACTTTGACCACTAGAGCCATGAACATCAAACAGATGTTGTTCGACAGCTGTCCGGATAGTCTTTTCTAAGAATCTGTCAAAGCAAAATAAGTTACACAGGCCTTTATAGGTAAAGGTTCCATCGCACATGCAAAGTAGTCATTTCCGGCATAAAGGACTGTGTTCATCTCCGTTTCTAAGCCAAGGAGCCAGCACTGTCTAAAGATGTCTCCATGGTCATGTGGTCGGCATGGCTAAACGCCGAAGGGGCACGGAACGCTGTTACCTTCCCAACAAAGTGGTCCCTTATTTTTCTACTTGCATTTTTTACATGCTTTCAAACTGCAAGGTTAGCAGAAGCTGGGACAACGGGAGCTTACTCCGTTACACAGCGCTAGGGATTTGAACCGCTGAACTGCTGACCTTCTAATCAACAAGCTCAGTGTCTTAAAACACTGAGCCACTGTGTCCCTTTTCACATACATATACACAGGTATTAATTCATATTTTTTTAAAAAGTAATAATGAATTCCCAATTTGAACTGTTCAATATTTTTACATATTTATAAGTGTATGCCTCAAAAATGATTGGCAAGAAGTGTTTCAAATATGGTTTAAGTTCAGGCTTTTTGATTAAAAATGGAAAGGAAGGGACTTCTGCTTTAAGAGTTGTCCTATTTTGAAAATATTTCATAAAACAGCAGCATTTGTTTTTTCCTGGTGAATTTATTATTTTGCTTGGTTAGATTTATTAAGTCATTTGCCCCATAAAAAACATTTTTGTATTTTTGTATCTCTTAATGTTAAGAGATTAAGAAAGTTATTTATCTAAATAAGTTTGCTAGCATTTTCTACACAGATTGATTAAAATACAGGTAGGATGTTTGATTAAAAAAAAAATAGATGAAGGAAGGACAGGAAAAACCCCCATGACAAATACCCTGATTACCCAAAAATAAGACTTCCCTGGATAATAAGCCCAATTTGGCTTTGAGCGTATGCGCTAAAATAAGCCCTCCCTGAAAGTATTGCAACACAGCAGCAGCCATGAGGTGACCACGCTCGACGCCTCCTGCACCTTAAAAATAATAAGACCTCCCCAAGCTCATTTTAGGTTTCAAAAGAAAATAAGATCCTGTCATATTTTCGGGGAAACACGATAAAAACATAAAGGAGATTTTTTTTTTTTTTTGAGATATGAGATCTATTCTATAGATATGTTCCCAGTTCAAAATTGGATGCTGCTTACAATGTCTTTCATTTTGCTGTGTCCTTGACAAAATAATTTACACAATAAAGTATTTTTTTCAGACATCTGAGATACTATCTCCCCCTCATCAATTTTTTTTTAATTAGATCTCATATCTCTTTCTTGGAGTGAACAGCTGTGAATTGTATTTGTATAGCAATAGTAATTAATTCGTAATTTAATAAGCTTATATGCCGCCCAATCCCGTAGGACTCTGGGCAGCTTACAAATACAAGATAAAACAGCAATAGCAGTTAAACTTATATACCCTTTCAGCCCTCTCTAAGCGGTTTACAAAGTCAGCAT